TGTCTTTTGCAGATTAAGCATGTGGAGAAATGGGAATCTCATCTCACCAGTGACTGGAAACTTATGCTCAGGTTAGGTATTTCCTGGATGGATGGAAGGATGGATGGATTATTAGATGTCCTTCCAAGAGGAAGGGGGTGGAGGTGGGCTTAGATATGATGTCTTGATGTCTTGTCAGTGGCAGGTGTTTCTTTTTCAGGTTATGGACACACAACATCGAAAAGAAGGAACCTTCTAGAGAATCAGTGGAGATTTATCAAAAGAACACTGGAGAACATTATGGTTATGAACATAACCCATGTTCCCGAAGATGGGAATGAAGACGTGTGTCTACCGAGACTTCGGAAGTTCGAAAATGGGCCAATGAATGCCTATGAGTTGCCAGAGCTCAGCTTGCAGCTGTTAGTGATTAATCATTAGCAGAGTATATATAACCGGCGCACGCAGAGTGAGCCACTAGACTAGATGAACACTCAGCTATCAGCTGGAGACCACACAAATCTGTTCCCATCTTTGGGGAATGTGGGTTACCTTTGTAACCGGTACGTTTCCCTTCAGCGGGAACTATGACGTGTGTCTACCAACACTTTGGAAGTGTGTATGGAAAACACCACAGCAGTTGAGCCTGTCACACCCCTGATGTGAAATTTGCCAAGCATAGTGTGAGTGGACAAGCATCACCAAGGGCGTAACCTTCCCTATGCCCTTTAATTGTCAGAATATGGGAATCATTTTGGAATTTAGAGTTGAAAAGATATGACAGTAGGTTGGGAATACGTTCCAGTCACGAAGGGGAAGGACACCCCAAGGGGAAACTAGGTAACAATATGAACATATGGGCTAGCCCTATCCAGGGCGAGTGCTATATGTGATAAGCTATGATAAGAAAACGGTCCGCCTGAGAAGAGGGAGCACTCCATGGCTGAATGACACGTATGGAATAATACATCTCATTCGCTAAGCAGAGCACAATAAGTGCAAGGAGCACAGTGTAATGGAGCATGGTGCAGCAAGCTTATTTGACACCAAGCTTAGTTTCCTCCTGATTGGCTGGGGTTACCCAGTAATTGGGAGGAAACGGGCTCCACCCGAAGATTATAATATCTCATGAATGTGTTAGGTACTGCCCAGCCCGCAGCTCTACAAAAATCTGTAGGATAGGCACCACGTGCTAATTTCCAAGAGGAGGCAACACTTCTTGCTGCGCTCTCACTCCCGGGGGACATGGCTCATCTTGGCACTGATAGGCGAGGGCATCATTATCCAATGGCGCAACCTCTGTTTTAATATGGCACTTTCCATCTGCCGACCACTTAGCAGATAAAAAGCTGCTCTGATAGTAGGCCAGCCCGAATTCTAGGCACCAGATGCCTTCAGATCCCAGACCCTCTTGATCGATGTAACGTAACCAGCAGAGCTGTCTGAGTTGAGTGGCTCAAACAGATCTCTCTGCAGATGACAGAGAGATCCCAAAAGGGCACAAGAGGCGGGCGGGATGGATTTAATTGCCTCACATTTCTGAGGAACCGAATGATTAGGTTATGCTTCCCGAGCGTGCTGCCATCCACCGCATCATGATGAGTGGAGATGGCTGCAACATAGGCCTTCAGTGTGGAGGGTGACAGCCTATGTTTCAGCTTATCCTAAAGGCAGGAAAACACAACACTAATCTTGCAAATCCGAGGATCTTCTCAGCGACCAGGAAACCCAAGTCCAGTTGGGAATTCAGTCGGCTCTAGCTGCACTCCTAGTAACTCTATTTTCTACAGATGTACATTTTAAAAAGTCAGATAGAGGTGGATGAGCTAAACCATGCATAACCTTGTAAGCTACAAAACCATTTTTGTTTTCCCAATTAAGCAGTCTATGGGTTATGAGAATTGTTTAAAAGGTATGTGAAAATTGAAAACAGCTTGTGCATTGCTGGAGCTCAGCCAGCAGTTAGGGTTCTGTTGGTGCTGTCTTTGTCTTTTGCAGATTGGAGTGGAGCAGAAGAATGAGACTTACCAGGGGCATCACCAGACCCCCATTACTGTGGCACTTGCCCCAGTGAATAAGTTTAGTTACAGTTTACTTTACTATATGTAAGTGTATTAATTAAGAGTAGTAACCCCAGAATAAATATGTTATTTTCTATTTACAACTGATTCAACGCTTGCGAAAGCAATGTAGTTTGATTGAAAACAAACTGATGAATATGAACAGAAAACCAAACCCATGCATCTCACACAGTGCTCCTGTTCTCGATCCTGGTTGTTTAACACGCATGCCAGAAAAATATGCGCCGCTCATACACTGTGAAACAGGCATTACAGCCTATGGTCATGAGCTTTGGGTCATGACCGAAAGGACAAGATCTCGGATACAAGTGGCCAAAATAACTTTCCTTCGCATAGTGGCAGGGCGCACCCTTATAGATAGGGTGAGGAGCTCTGTCACCCAGGAGGAGCTTGGAGTGGAGATGTTGCTCCTCCACATCAGAGAAGTCAGCTGTGGTGGCTCGGGCATCTGTTTCGAATGCCTCCTGGAAGCCTATCTAGAAAGGTGCTTTAAGCTTGTCCCATTAGGAGGAGGCCTCAGGAAAGACCCAGAATATGCTGGAGGGGCGATGTCTGTTGGCTGGCCAGGGAATACCTCGAGATTACCCCGGACAAGCTGGAGGAAGTGTCTGGGGAGAGGGAAGTCTGGGGTTCTCTCCTAAGACTGCTGCTCCTGCTAACCCCCCCCACCACCCAGATAAGCGGATGAAAATGAATAAATTAATGAATGAATGATCTTGGATCACTCCAGTTTTGTCTTTACATTGGATTAATTTCTGTTATTTGTTTAAAATAATAATTCTATAAAAAATAATAATACTTTTTATAATAATAATAATAATAATAATAATAATAATACTTGTATTTATTTAGAATATTATAATTATTTTTTTAATTGATAATATTTAGTATACGTATTTAGGGGGAAGTGTCACCCCTGACCAAACATACTATGTATGTGGGACTTGAAAGGGTAACGGATCATTCTGTGATATGTGTATATTGTGAAATTTGCTGAGTATTAATATGTAATGCACATTTCATTTATGCATCATGTCATATCACTCAGCTCTTAATGTGATTTTTCTTGGGCAAAGAGATGCCAATAAACCCATCTGTTTATGTTTTCACATACATTAAAGATTCAAAATACAACTCTAAATAAATCTGTCTGTCTCTTTTCATCTATATTTCATCCACAAGACAACTCAGGAGCAAACTGTTTTCTGGTGGTCTCTAGATAGCTCAGAGTATATTATGCTGTGTTTGTATCTGTGAGTTTATAGTAATTGTACAGTACAACTGCATTTTGTACATCAGTGTTCACTATGATAAAGTTAGTTGTAGTATTTTTTATAGGTACTGCATCTATAGGTGCCTATGTAGTTTTGTATATCTACAACAGACAAAAATAGGGAAGGACTCTGTCAGTTAGGGCATAATGAAGCACTGGATCTGTTGTGATTTACTATTGGTCGATCTCATGTGATTGACAGGTTGTCCCACCCTCACTGCAATAAAAATGTCATCCACGTGAAAGAGAGAAAGAAATATGGATGTTGTGGTTTAGCTGAATCTGCATGTCTCTCAACAGTGTTTTGCAGCAGCATTTCTACTAATAGCAAAACTGTACATTAAATATCTTCAAGAAGAGTAATTTTAATAACCAAAGCAATAGTTCATCCTAAAATTAAAATTCTGTCATAATTTATTAAACCTTCACTTGTTCCAAACACGTTTGACTTACTTTCTTCTGTTGAACACAAAAGAAGATACACTAAGGAAAGCTGTGACCATCGACAATCATGGCATTTTTTTTTTTTTTTTTTGTTTTGTTCCTGCTATAGAAATAAATGGTTACAGGTTTTGAGCTTTCTTCAAAATATTTTCTTTTGTGTTCAATATAATATGGGAACTCGTGAAGGTTTGGAACCACATTAGGGTGAGTAAATAGTGAGTAAAATATTTTTTTTTGGTGAACTATCCCTTTAAGTTTAGTGATGTCATGTACAGTTGAAGTCAGAATTATTAACCCCCTTTGAATTTTTTTTCTTTTTTAAATATTTCCCAAATGATGTTTAACAGAGCAAGGACATTTTCACAGTATACCTGATAATATTTTGTCTTCTAGAGAAAGACTGATTTGTTTTATTTTGGCTAGAACAAAGTGAGTTTTTTTTTAAAAAAACTTAGGGTCAATATTATTAGCCTTTAAGCTCATTTTTTTTGATCGTCTACAGAACAAACCATCATTATACAATAACTAGCCTAATTACTCTTACCTGCCTAGTTAACCTAACTAACCTAGTTAAGCCTTTAAACATCACTTTAAGTTGTATAGAAGTGTCTTGAAAAATATCTAGTCATATATTATTCACTGTCATCATGGCAAAGATAAAAAAAACAGAAATTGTAGAAAAAAATAAACAGGGGGGCTAACAATTCAGGGGGCTAATAATTCTGACTTCAACTGTATCTTTTTTTTACTGCTATTGACAACACTTTTATGTACACTTGTGTTTCCAATACTGCATCCCAATTAGCATACTAGACATCCTAAATAGAATTCAAAACAATAATTGTGTCCCGAATCATACTACATTGAAATAAGCATTGCAGATTTTTGTGTAATTAAATGCATTTGTATGTGGAAGACCGTAAGGATTTTTGAAATGATTAGACAAAGTGATAAGGAAATGCAGTCAACACCAGTCTGGAACTACTTTAGCTGTGCCTTTCCCTTAATATAATTACATTTAAGCAACACAATTGTTTATAATAAAGAACTACCCTTTAGAAATGAATATAGTAATTGTTTGACTTCAAGGTGAACTCAAAGAAAGTTCAGAGTTTGACGAATTTTACATCTAACAACATTGTGATTCTATACATGTTCCCCTCTTAAATATGACCTTTCTGACAAGACTTGTGTGCATATGAATGGATGTGGGGGAGACTCACGGTTCTCGTACAGCCGGCGAGGCAGGCTGAGAGGTAGGTGACACCATTGGAGCCGCAGACGGGGCTTAGAGAAGATTTGTAACAGTTACAGCCTGACAGACAGGCAGCCTCTGTCCGCTCCCATGACCCCAGACTCCTAAATCATGACAATGAATATAAGATGAGCGAAGGACAATTGTGACCCTGGACCATTCATAAGGGTCAGTGAAACACCCTATCTGAAGATTTATACACCATATTAAAGGTGGGTAATAAGCATCCAGCTGATGTAAAATTTGTTAGAACAGAACAACATCTAGCTGAGATACAACTATTTAAAAATTAAATACAGAAAAAATCACTTGAAGTCCTCAGCGAGGGATTCTAAAAATTAAAAAAACATTTTTTATATGTTTAAACTAGGAACTTTACAAAATGCAACACAATGGATCTGTACATAATAGCCTACGGAGTTTTGCCTTAAAAGAAAAATTGGTAACACTTTGTAAAAACAGTACATGAATAATGATGTGTTGGTGTAAACTAAACATTACTTTATTATTTGGAATTATTAGGAACATTATTATGATGCATGATCTAACTTTAACTATTAGTTTATCTGTGAATAACGACTATCTTAATTATTTGTTATTACATGCTTGTTTGTTAATTAATGTATTAATTACAATTAGTTTATGCTTAATTTATCCATCATGAACTCATGATATATGCTAATGTATATTTATGTCATGACTTTACTTGGAGGGGCATGTCACTATTAACTCATTCTTAGCTACTCATTAACTCCTTATGCATCCTTATACTCCGTCTTGTGTGTTTACACTGAATAAGAATAGAAAAGTGTTCTGTCAACATCAACAGACTAAACACATTCATGAGTTCATAAGGATGAGTTAATGATAGTGTGCCCCTCCAAGTAAAGTCATGACACAGTTCTACATTAACAGCTCATGAGTTCATGTTGGTTCCATTTAGCTTAAACTTAAATGTTAATTAATACATTAATTAACAACATGTACTAACAAGTTATTAAGGTATTAAGTCGTTATTCACACATGAACTCTTGTGACTCATGTTGTGGTTAAAGTTAGTTCATAAGTAGTGCGTGCCTTAACATATCATTAGTTTAGAAAATCTCTGTGACATGCTCCCTGAAGCCCTGCCCAATATTCGTTGAACCTCTCTGCTGAACGCATTGAAGGCCTACCACATGGTTCACAGCTGCACCTTTCCACCCTAATCATCAGCCCTTTAAGTAGTGTGGCTTCAGAGTAACAGTATGCTCGTCTTTCACTGCTCTGGACTCCTCATATGGTGTTGTGGCTGCGTGCAACAGTGAGTTATGTTTTCTTGTACTGTTTATTTATACAGTATTGTTTATTGATTTATTTGTTTGATCTGTCTTTATGCATTTATGACTAGAAACCAGTCTGATACCATGTGAAGAGTTATGTACTGGCATTGGTGAATACAAACCAACAAAATGGATCTTGTTTTGACTGACACTCCATTGTGATACTCCCCCTGCGAGTCAGCATTACCTTCCTAATTTTTTATAATTAGTACATAATAAAGTAATGTTTAGTTTACCCTTCTTATATGAACATGCAGCTCAACTCCTTGTTCAAGCTCTTGTTCTCTCCAGACTGGACTACTGCAACTCTCTGCTAGCGGGGCTCCCAGCTAACTCTATCAAGCCTCTTCAGCTGCTCCAGAACACAGCAGCACGAGTGGTCTTTAATGAACCTAAAAGAGCACATTTCACTCCGCTACTCATCCGTTTGCACTGGCTGCCAGTTGCTGCTCGCATCAAATTCAAAGCTCTGATGTTTGCCTACAAAGCGATTTCTGGCTGTGCCCCTTCTTATCTGCTCTCACTTCTGCAGATCTATGTGCCCTCCAGAAACTTACGTTCTATGAATGAACGTCGCCTCGTGGTTCCATCCCAAAGAGGGAAGAAATCACTTTCCTGAACACTTTCTCGCGTTCAATTTGCCCAGTTGGTGGAATGAACTCCCTAACTGCATCAGAACAGCAGAGTCACTCGCTATTTTCAAGAAACGACTAAAAACTCAACTATTTAGTCTCTACTTCACTTCCTAATCTGCAATTGCCTCTCTAGATATACCACTAACTGTACTCAAAAAAATATATATTACTAATACTTTCCTTCTTAGACTTTATAGACCTGAAACTTGCCTATAGCACTTATTCATTGTTGCTCTTATAGTTGTGTAAATTGCTTCCTTGTCCTCATTTGTAAGTCGCTTTGGATAAAAGCGTCTGCTAAATGACTAAATGTAAATGTTTACATATTTATACATTATTATTCATGTACTCTTGTAAAGTCTTACTGAATCTATAATTTTGACCTATACATTGTATTTTAAGCTTTTTCCAAAAATGTACCCGTGCAACATAAGACTGGTTTTGTGGTCCAGTATCGTGAGCTGAATTTTAAACATGATCTTCTCTGTAAAAACGAATGCTACTAAACTCTTAGCATTTTTATTCTTGAAGTGTGAACACAAAAGTCTTGAAGTGACTGTATTTATTGGCACTTATTGTGCATCACTATAAATTGGCATGAGGCATTTATGCTGAAGCACTGTACTCACTCGTTGCCATAGGCAACAGTAACCCCGGCGACCGGGCCCGTATCACAGCCTAGGAACAGGAAGGAGACGTAGCAGGCCGTAGAGATGATATTGACTATCATGGCCAGACGAATAGCCCCTAATGCAGACAGATCCAACTTCTTCACCAGGAGGCCACCCAGGAAAATACCCAGACAAGCACAGGGGATTGCTGTCATACCTGTAAAAAAAAAAACACTGGTTTGACATGCATCTTTTAGATACTTGTACTTGCTTGCTCAACTTCTATGACTGTTTTGGTGCAGTTTGGTCTACCTAGAAGCTGATTGGCAGAGGACGTTGAAAGGTTGAACTGCTGTTCGAGATATTTTCCTAGGAAGGCAGCAAATCCAGCCACCACAGCGATTTCCATACAGGCCGCGAGGATGACACAGGTGAAAACCGGATTGGACAGCAGATGCTTAGTCACCTTGGGGATAACTGAGACCAAACAACAATCATATTAAATGGATGATCCAGACAAAATCACACTGTTAAGGAGTTTTCAACCTTTTTGATGATGCTCTGCTTCCCATCATGGCCGCAGCACCATCTTGTTTTTGGCTTATTTTGTAATATTTTAAAGCCCAATGTCAATTATTCCTTACTAATGCATAATTTATTGCTATTGCTACTCTAAGGGCTGTACGTGTAAGGAGGACAGTGTGAAATAAAGTCTCATCATAAGCAGAATTATTGTGTTAACGTGTTGTAAAAAATTGCAATATACATATTATTATAAATATGTATACATGCACACACAAAATATTTTAGATTTAATAGATGATTGGATGTATTTCATTGTTCTTTCCACCTGCTATTAGCACTTTGAGAGATGAGTCTTGTTCTCCACACAGAAATAAAAGCCAAAACTAGGGCTGCATGATATTGGAAAAATCTAACATTGTGATATTTAGTTATTCTGCAATATATTGTGATATGATAGAGTTTCAACAGATGACCTGAATAGCTCTATTTGGAATCAATTGATAATTTTAGACTAATGGAATAAACAATCTACAAGCACAGATAAATACAATGAGGAAAAACATGCAATAATTGATTAGTACAAATAATCCAGGTAGTAATTGAATAATAAAAATAATTTAATTAAATGAATAGTTATTAAAGTTACAAACGGTCTTATAACTGAATGTTTTTAAACCTTTTGCACTGTGCTACTCTTTTGTTATGTTCAGGATGAAAAACATCCACTGAATTAAACTGCTGTCAAAATGCATCAGAGTAATAATGTTATCAAATGTTTATGCATAAAACTGTTAATCAACCTCAGTCCTGATCAAAACTACTAAATTGTTCAGAAAATTACAGGATTTTAACTCTTTAATTGCCAAATTCAAAAAATGATGTCACTAATTTGGTGAAAAAACACACAAAATGATGTATTTTTATTATAAAAAGTAATTGTGGACTGGATTTTTTTTACCTTTTATCAAGCTCTTGGATATGTGGACGATTAATAACAACATTGCCTTTGGTGCGCGGCTAGCTTTTCATTTTTTCTTCATAACTTACTGTTAGAGGCTGTTTTTGTCCCATTGACTTAAATTATAAGCACATTTGATGGTACATAAATACACAGGCTTTGTTTTCATTTACACCATGTAGTTCTGAGAGCTGAGATGCATGTTTTGATTTTCTCAGACACATTAAGGTAAGGGTGCAAAGGTCACTTACACACTCTCAGACACTCAGAGACACATATGCACAAACTTTAATTTGCTGATTTACTCAATATAAAATCCAGAAACTAAGCTTTATCTGCACAGGCCCATCTAAAAGGTTAATGGTGCCAACTGATGATCAACAGTAAAAATTACAAATTTTACCTTTTGCAAACAGGGAAAACCACCAACAATCAAAAATGCATGATTAAATGGTGTCATGGTTTTGCAATTTAAAAAAAAGGTTATAATGAAAGTCAATGGGGCAAAAACAGCCACAAACAGTAAATTTGGGTGAAAAAATTTAAATGAAACAATTCATCCAAGGCAATGTTGTTACTAATTGTTCACATGTTCACGACTGTAATAAAAGGTTGAAAAAATCTAACTCACAACTAATTTTTTTATGAAAAAAGGTCATTTTGTCTGCTTTTCTTTATCAAATCTGTCACATCATTTATGAATTTCACAATTAAAGAGTTCAAATCCTGTAATTTTCTAAACAATTTAGTAGTTTTGATCAGAACTGATGAACAAATTTATGCAAAAAAAAAAAAAAAAACTTGAAAAAATTTTTTATCTGATGCATTTTTACAGCAGTTTAATTCAGTGGATTTTTCATCCCAAACATAACAAAAGGCTAGTACATTTGAACAGTGTATTGAGTTTTTTTTTAATTCAAAGCATTTTCTCAAAATATGTATCAAAATAAGATTTGTCACCAAAAATCATCCCACTAGCTGAAACAGAAAAAGGTATAAAAGCCATATTAAGACTCAAAATCACCTCAGTCACAGACCTCAAAAACACATGCATATGATAAATATAAACTCGACAATGCATATCCTGTGACGTGACTAATGCGAATGATCACACTGCGATATCGATGCTGAAATCATTCATTGTGCAGCCAAAACTTCAAAAAGGAATAAACTGATCACAATGGCATGCAAAAGCTTTCACTCTTGATTGCTTTTATTAAGTGTAACGCGTGACCTCTGTGTGTTTTTGGTGTCCTCTCGCTCACCCTGCAGGTGCTGGCAGCAGGTGAGGCCAGTGCTGATCTCCAGGTCATCTGAGGTTTTGACTCCTTCATACTCCTGCACTAGCTCAGCGGGCAGCATGGCCTGTTCGCTCTCTCCCCCTGGACCCTCGCCAGGCTCATTCAGCGACTGCGGGAACCCAAACATGAAAAACGAGGAGACGAAGAGAAAAAGGCCACAGATGATAAAGCCGCCCCACCAGGCACCAATCCAGCGTGGGTCGTCAGGAGTGATGTCCAGCGTGGCTGTTAGGAGTGAACACAGATCTGATGAGATGCAGCATTTCAGTGCACGCATTCATTTAACACATGCTTTTATGCATTTACACATGAGGGAAAATTCAAATAAAGCGAGTCGGTTTTCAGTGTGTGCACATTCGATACCAGTACTCACTTGTGTCAATAAAGACTGCATCAACATAAACTTTGGTGCACAGAGAGCCAAGAATGAAACCACAAGCTGGTCCAAAGACCAGTGTAGAGAATAAGATACCTGTAATGAAAACAAAGAACAAACATCATAAAAGATATGGTACATTTATTCATGCAGAGTTACAAGTGGTTTCATTTTATTCACAAATTATTACCAAGCATTCTTGTGCAGTTTACTTCCAAACAATTATACTTTGCAGATTACTTGTTACTATTAATTAAAGAGCCCCTATTGTGGGTTTTTGAAAATGACCTTCCATGTAGTGTGTATCAGCTCTAAGTGAAGTGAAATATCCAGCTAAAGCTTAAATTTGAAAGTGGACAGTTTTTAAAACTATTGATTCATCTAAAAAAAAGAGTCAACTCATAGTGGTTAGAATTAGGGATGTAACGGTATCAGAATCCTTGTGTCAGGTACGGTAATACCTCGGTATGAATGGCATGGTACGGTATTTATTGAATAATTTACAGGAAAACAAAACTAATGAAAAGACTCAAAAAAAGTGCCAAAAGTACTTATTTACTTTAGCACTGAACATATCAATGACATACAAATTAGCCACAGGAACTTCAATTTTTGAATTTTAATAACAAAAAACTATAAAACCATGTAGAAAAAATAAAACTTCAATTTAGTATTGTTGAGAACTCATCACATTAAACATTTAATCACTCACTCACTTGGATAGAAATGTTTTTTTTTTTAAAGAAAAATTATCATATAAATATAATCTGGCAAAAAGCTGGGATCTCTGGGCATTTACAATATCCCCTGCAACAGAAAAAACCCCTCTCATTTGGGACTGAGGTTTCTGGGACAGAGAGATATGATTTAGCCAAGGTTGACCGCAGTGGGTAACGCTGTACATTGTCTTTCCACCACTTGAGAGGACAAGCCATGAGTGAGATAGAGGTCTCTTTACGGTACAAGTCAATGTCTGCATCAATCTAACAAGTGTGCTGTGTTCTGCAGTCCCCATGACTGTTTTTAGTCGTATTCCCTGACTTATATTTCACCACAGTCTGGCAGTGCCTGCATACTGTTTTTTTCTTTGTCTGTCACCTTTTCTCATTTTTCGTATCTTTTTAGAAAGAAACCAAAATACTTCCACACATACGATTTAAAACCCGCTTTAGGTTCACACACTCCATTTCTGCATTACTGGATCTGTAGTGACAACAGACCGCAAAGGATGATGGCCACGCCTAGGCTGATGGAAATTGTAGTTCCCGCTACCACCCGTTTGCTTCATTCGCCTAAGCAAACTTTTCTCAGAAATATAGTTTTATTAAGTCACGCGCCTATTGAAAAAAATTACTATTGCGCTATGACGGTATTTACTATATTGGTACATCCCTAGTTAGAATGAATCATCTTCATAATGAGTCTTGAGCTGTTTCTGCTTGACGTGGCTACAAAACACAAGCCCTGCCCAATTGTTGCGCACGCAAACCCGGAAAAATTTTAACCTGCGGCCCCGCCCACTAACACAGCAGCAAATACAAACAGATCCTGAAGTCATCATGAGCCTGTGCTTACCTGGATATTGTCGGAAGTGTGAGGAAAAAAAGTGATTCAGCAATCTACACCAGGGGTCACCAATCTCGGTCCCGGAGGGCCGGTGTCCCTGCAGGGTTTACTTCCAACTTGCCTCAACACACCTGCCTGGATGTTTTAAGTATACCTAGTAAGACCTTGATTAGCTTGTTCAGGTGTGTTTGATTAGGGTTGGAGCTAAAATCTGCAGGACACCGGCCCTCCAGGAACAAGTTTGGTGACCACTGATCTACACGCTTACAATGGGCGATTCATTCGTTTGTTAAAGGAAGGATCAGAAAAGTAGTGCCTTTTTTCTTTGAACAATTTTATTTTGGGCAAAACGTATGTTGTACTGCTTGCACCGTATCCAATATTACTAAAAATGTATCAGTAATGCCTTACACTACTGCATTAGAAAAACTACTCACAACACAAACCATTACACTATTGATGTAGATGCTTAGATCATGAGTATTAGAGTTTATTAGTGAATCTGATGCAGCCCCAGGTAAAGGAGCCAACTCCTTTAGTAATTTTGTATATAACGTCTTTCGGATGAGACGTTAAACCGAGGTCCTGACTCTCTGTTGTCATTAAAAATCCCATGGCACTTCTCGTGAAAGAGCAGGGGTGTAACCCCGGTGTCCTGGGCAAAGTCCCTCTATCGGCCCTTACGATCATGGCCTCCCAATCATCCCCTTCCACCGAATTGGCTCTATCACTGTCTCTCCACTCCACCAATAGCTGGTGTGTGGTAAGCGCACTGGCGCCATTGTCCTGTGGCAGCCGTTGCATCATCCAAGTGGATGCTGCACACTGGTGGTGGTGTGGGGAGACCCCCCCTCATGATTGTGAAGCGCTTTGGGTGTATGGCCATACACAATAAATGCACTATATAAACACACATTACATTACATTACATTACATATTTAAAATGTTCATCCTTACTGCAGTCACCTGCACATTTATTTGTTTAATTGTTTAACCAGGAATGTCCCATTAAGATACAATATCTCTTCTACCAGGGAGTCCTGATCAAGACAGGCAGAACAGGACAAAGTTACAAATTAAAAAATAAATAAATACAGGTTACAACACATAGACACAAAAAAATAGTATAAAATTTAATATTAAATGTGATAAAAACACAATTCTGTGTTAGGTATTATATGTTGTGTGAACACTAAAAGTGTGGTAGCTAAAACATACAGTTAGTAATGGTATCAGCTGTTCTCTGTTCACTTTGAGTGCGTAATTAACTGTCTAGACACAGAAATAGTACAGCATAATCATTATAAAAGAACACAAACAGCCATATGCTGCTATAAATGATGATGCTGATCGGTGTCAACCTGAAAGGGTTTATTTTGCAAGTATGTCCAACTGACTAAATATTACTTTGCACACACATGCCACTCACTATATAAATACAGCACTAATTAAATGGCTCAGTGGGATTCTTTTATTATTTTTAGAGTATTTTTCTAATGTACGAATGTACATTTACACAATTTTCTATGATCTGTTGACATTTATCTTCCCAGTACCGGGGTGCAGCTGGAAGAGTATCAGCTGTGTAAAACATATGCTGGATAAGTTGTCGGTTCATTCTGCTGTGGCGACCTCTGATAAATAAAGGGACTAAGCCGAAAGAAAATGAATGAATGTTGACTATTGTTAATTTTAGTCACTGTAGGATAATCTGCTTCAAAAGTAGCACCGTGCTTAGAAATGTCATACGGCTATTTAATTTTAAACCTATTTTATTGATAAAGTCTGTGTTTCTGTTTATTTATTTATTAAGAGCCGTTTATTTATTCATATTAAGCAGTTTATAGATTATTTAGAAGATGTTACTGAGAATGAAGAATATGAAAAAGCGCATGTCTTTAGACTGTGGGCGAAATCAGAGCCCCCGGGTGAAACCCACGCCAACACGGAGAGAAAATGCAAACTTCACACAAAAATGCCCTGCCGGGGCTCAAAACAGCAATCTTCTTGCTGTGAGGCGACAGCACTAACCACTGCATTACTGTGTCGCCACAAGGATTAAATATTAAATATAATCTATTTAATGCATAAAAATGTGTATGCGTGAAGGACAGATGGCAAGTCACGCAACAACTTCTACAGCTTGGCAGTATTTTGGGCAGTACAAACGAGAAGGGAGAGATGGTAAATACGGACGAGGCAATTTGCAAATTAAACCCAGAGAACATGCAAACTCCACACAGAAATGCCAAACTGACCCAGCCGGGGTTCAACCTTCTTGCTGTGAGGTGACAGCGCTATCCACTTTGCCACCGTGCCACTCAAAAATCTGTAATACTTTTAAGTATTATTACAATTCTAAATATAAATGTTATTATTTTTAAAACGTTGTTTATTTCTATGATTGCCCTGCAACATTTTATTTCAAAATTACAATAAAGGTGCTCAAGAAACTTGTCTTAGTATTATGAAAATGTATTTGAATATAACAAATAGAATTTTATTATAAGCTGTTATGGCTAATATATGAGCTTAGTCTATGGTTTACCTATTAAAGGTTATTATTGTTTATCAAAAGTGAAAGTAATTCCAGCTACATTTTTTCATTGTTATACACTTTTTTTATGCTTGTTCAAACTACTTATTTAAAATGAGCTGAAACAACACAATTCTTGAAATTTTATTAGGACAACTTCATTTTTTTTGTTTAAACCATATAAATTTAAGTTAACTTAATCGATTTGTGGTGGGACAACATGAATGAATTTTGTGGAATCCTGCATTTTTTTACAATGTAGTTGTGGAGCTGACCCTATTCTCATAGAACAATTAGTAATGTTTTATCATTGTCATTAAATTATCATTGATGGAGCAAACAAGCCTTTACTATAGAAAAATATGAACCTCACCAAAGGTGTCAGAAGGTTCTGTAATATGACCTTCAATCTTATATCTGCTCTGATCATTGAAAGAAGCTTTAGTTTTATCTATTAGCCTGGGTGAATTGATTAAGCATCATAGATCATGCAAGTCAATCTTAATGTTACTACTTACAAGAGAATATAATCTGAGATCAGTTTCTTACCCTGGGATTCTGTATGAATACAGACTCCAGATAATTCACTTTAAACTGATAGGCCTTTCTGCTTTCGCCTTTGTGAAAGACGCCAAATGCATTTGTGTTAACCAAAGCTTCTGTGAGCAAACAGCTAAATAACTGATTCCATTATGCCCACCAGCAAAGACTGTCTCCAAAGAGGATGTTTGTGTCTGTGCTAGTTTACATTACGCTTAATCGAGAGATGGGTCCAGTTTTAAAGGTTACTGAGGATTAAAAGATGCAAAAGGGAGAGAGAAAGAAGCTTGCACGGACATTAATGCTCATAGACAGACAAGTCAGCTCAATGCAAAGACATCAGACACACTGCAGAGAAGGAGACATGGCAGAAATGCTATGAAACGCACACATACTAACCAATGGTGAATATACATAAGGACCAGAGTGGCTTGGGCTCACTCAGATTGACTGT